AGTTATTGGAGAGTACCTTAATATTCTGCACTTCGCCGATGACATTGCATTGCTGAGTAACTCAGAGGATGAATTACAACTCATGATTACGGAGTTAAACAAGGAGAGCAGAAAGGTAGGTCTTAAAATTAATCTGCAGAAAACGAGCACGGAAGAGAGCAGTGCTTCGAGATAGGTAATAGTGCACTTCAAGTTGTAAAAGACTATGTCTACTTAAGGCAGGTAATAACCGCGGAGCCGAACCACGAGATTGAAGTAACTAGAAGAATAAGAATGGGATGGAGCACATTTCGCAAGCACTCTCAAATTATGACAGGTAGATTGCCACTATCCCTTGAGAGGAAGGTATATAACAGCTGTATCTTGCCGGTACTTAGCTACGGAGCAGAAACCTGGAGACTTACAAAGAGGGTTCAGCTTAAATTGAGGACGACGTAGCGAGCAATGGAAAGAAAAATGGTAGGTGTAACCTTAAAAGACAAGAAGACAGCAGAGTGGATTAGGGAACAAACGAGGTTAAGGATATCAAATTTGAAATCAAGAAGAGGAAATGGACTAGAGCCGGGCATGTAGCGCGTAGACAGGACAACCGCTAGTCATTAGGAGCAACTAACTGAGTTCCCAGAGAAGGCAAGCGGGTTAGGGGGAGACAGAAGGTTAGATGGGTAGATGAGATTAAGAAGTTTGCGGCTATAAATTGGCAACAGCAAGCACAGGACCAAGTTGACTGGCGGAACATGGGACAGGCCTTTGTCCTGCAGTGGACGTAGTCAGGCTGATGATGATGATGGTGATTATTTAAAAAACGCGACGTCTATGCCATCTGTAAACTGAATGTACAGTCAAATGAAGGTACATTATGGCCTTCAAGGTTCATGCGCCCTATCTCAGAGGCTGCGACGCACCGGTGATGGCAAATGGCCACGCATGCCCACGCTTGGGTTCCCGCGCCAGCGAATGATTGTCGTGTCTTCCGCGACAGCACGGGCAGCGCCGAACCCACGCGGTGGCCTACGTTTCTATCAAACGGCGTGGAGTGAAATTCGGTTCACAACAACCATACTATAATACATTGCAGGTAATGGGCCTCGGTCAGGACCACAAAAAATTCGTGTCACCCCGAAATTCATATGAGCTGAGTCCGTATCACCGAAATTTTACCGTATATTCTTTTCCGATGGAGACCATGTTTCTGAAAACATAACTTCAAAGAATACTTGCGGTTCACTTAGAAATATCCGAGTTGTTCATCCTGCTTATTTCTACCCGATCTATGGTATAATGAACGAAACTAAGTCTTAGATTGCAACGTGCGTCCATCGGTGCAGTTCAATGAAGACTGATGGAGAGAATGTCAAAATAGTGTCAATTCACTGCAGTAATAATATTTAAAACTGGATGTATATGTACAACATGGGCGCAGCCGGGAAGGGGTGGGTGGAATTCAACTTTTTTTTATTCCCAATTTCTTCTATTTTGCTTGCTTATATATATATATATATATATATATATATATATATATATATATATATATATATATATATATATATATGAATTAACAGATAATAATGCCAAGGAATGTATAGGGGAAGTTATTAGAACCAATGTAATGTCAATAAGAAGAAAGAAAAGTGGGAGAAAAAATAACTTGCCGTGAGCAGGAATCTACTTTTTTTTCTTATTTACATTACATTGGTCCTAAGAACTTCCCTTATACATTCCTTGGCAGTATTGTCTGTTAGATCTAATAATATTGTGTGAAAACACGGAAAAACGAGGCCTTAGGTATACACTTCTTTCCCTTATCCATTAACGAGGGTCTCGTACTGGCAAACTTGGTGCCGTTAGGTTGTATACGAGGGATTATTGGTAAGCTGCCAACTCGTAATAAGTTCACGTACTACGTGATGCCACACAGGCTCATAAAAGGGTGTTCAACACTCGACGCTATGGCTACAGATGGCGCTGACTGACACTCCCACGTTTAAATTCACATATAATGTTATAAACCCAATTAAGTGGCTGGGGGGATAGCCACCATGATAGCTCAGTGGCTAGAGCATCGAACGTGGTATTCGAAGGTCGTAGGTTTGATTCCTGCTCACGGCAAGTTATATTTTCACCCACTTTTCTTTCTTCTTATTTACATTAGATCGGTTCTAATAACTTGCGCTATACATTCCTTGGCATTATTGTCTGTTAGATCCTATTATTATTGTGTCAAAAGACAGAAAAACTAGCCCTTAGCTATACACTTATTTCACTTATATATATAGCAGTGTCACAGTTATTACCATATAAGTGAGGGAGGAATAGCAGGATGACGTTGGCTGGTGATCAACAACCACCATTTTTGCCTGTTGTATTTTCACTGTAAATATTTCGGAAATATACTACTCGCACCATTTTGGTGGAGGTGCTGTGATCGTCACAAGACTGAACTCCACAGCGAACGTGTCCTGGTTAACCCCACGATGTCTACAGAAGGTAATCCTGCTGCTTCCGTTGCGACCAAAACTCCTGTACTATCGGTCGTATTGACTCAGCCACATGATCCTGGCAACTTCTGCAGCACAGCAGATGTTTACGTAGATGATTGTATCGCTATATACTAGCCCTTTGCAACGGTTTATCGTTGCGACCCACCAATGACGCTGGCAATAGTTGGCTTTTACCTCTGGTGCACAGCAGACATGTGGTTCGAAGCTCAAGACTCATGAATCAGATATAACTAGTTGGGATGCCTGTAAGCAGAAGCTCCGCGATCTTTTTGGTAGACAAGGGGAGTGCAAGCGTGCTGCTTCTAAAGATCTGTCCTGCCGGGCTCAAACTTCAACCGAGTCGTATGTGTCGTACATACTGAACGTTCTCGCTCTCTGTCGTCGTGCAGACACCGATATGACTGAGGCATACAAAGTAAGTCATGCGCTGAAGGGAATCGCAGACGATGCTTTCAATCTGCTGGCGTCGAAGGACTTCTCGACCATGGCCAACATCGTAAAAGACTGCCCGTGATTCGAAGAACCGAAGAGTTGCCGCATCACCCAGCGTTTTATGGGGCTTCCGAACACTGCCACTACGTCCACTTGCGAGGACCTTCAGCCGAAGCTCAGTTCAGTGCCCACCACCGAGAGCGTAGTCAGCACCGTGCGTCGCGAAGTCGAAGTGGTGTCTCCGCCATCTTTCCAACGTGGCTGTCCGATGATCCTCGACGAACGATTTCTTTGATTCAGCAGGTTGCGAAAGAAGAGCTCGCAAATGACGGACTGCAGTCCATCTACTCGCTCACGCAACCTCGTGTAAGTGCCATGACGCCTCCTTCACGTGCTCAGGAAATGTCTCGTCGCTACCGTGGCCCTGCACGGTGGAGAACGCAGGAGAAGTCTATCTGGTTTCGTTGCCACGAAATGGGACACACCTCTCGTTATTGCCGCTCTCAGACTTCTCAATCTCGCTCGTTTTACAACTATCGACGCTACGACAACCAGCCAACGTCGTACTCCTCTTGCTCCTTCCCTTTATTATGGTAATTAACTGATTAACTGTGAACCTTCCCTAAAAAAACGTGGCTTATTCCCATATATAGGAATTGGTATGACACGAAAGTAAAACGTGCCGAGCGTTTATTGTGCATTGTTTCAGCAACAGCGATAAGTTGCAAAGCCAGGTTAGGAACCGCAAGAAGCGCGAAACTTGAAGCGCACACCTCAAGCAGAAAGTACGCACAGAATGAGCATACACAGGACGAGCACGGACTAATAATCACAGCTCGACACTTAAAGCGTTGTGTTCAAACAAAAATACGCACGAAACGAGCGCAAAAGATACACAGGACAAGCGCAAACAAATGTCACAATTCTTCCTGCGTTGTGCGTCAGCAGCGCGCTTCTTTCGTAATCGCAACCGTGGCAGTGTGTGAAGGGACCTTCGTTCTCTCCCTTATTACGAGTGTGATAAGCGCGCACACAGGTGAGACCACGCTCCGTGGAGGCGGTGCCTCGTGGAGACTGCTACCTTTAGAGTGCCCCAACGCGAGCCTGTCGCGCCATCTCGCCGTTTATAACGAAAACGCGCTAAAGTTTTGAAGCTCTGAGGAATGCCAAACGGTGTATGGTGTATATATAAATGGCTTGCCGTTAGCAGCTCCGACAACGTACGCTCTGTGGCGTATAGTGGTTAGCGCCGAGCGCTGAGAGTTGACAGGTTCAATTTCGCATGACAGATGCTTTCCTTCTGGTTTTTTCATTTGCAGTCTCTTAGTATATATATTTAACATGATTTCGCGACGGAAGTACGTCAGCGGAGCCGTGGTGAATCCCGTCTTAAAACACTTTCATGTTAAAAAATTTCGTCTACGCTTCTGATGCACGGTATGGACGAAAATATGCGGATGAGCATGACGTGATTAAGTGAAGTCGAATCACTGTGCCTACAAAAGCTACAGCCGATTGGCTTCTAATGGCACGGTTCTCTGTGCTTTCGTCTCATTACACTCGTTTGTGGACTGTGTCAGTATTGTCGCCTGTTGTAAAAATACTGTTGGCAGCAAACAAACAGCAAGGAACAATACATGTGAGAATATATTTTTGTTTTCTTCGTTCAGCGAACTGGGAGCGCAGAGAAAACACAAAGGACGAAGGGAGGAACCACACAACACGAGCGCTCGTGTTGTGTGGTTCCTCCCTTCGTCCTTTGTGTTTTCTCTGCGCTCCCAGTTCGCTGAACGAAGAAAATGAATTACCAACTGGCCCACATTTTGATCCTTTTGCAATATATTTTTGTCTCTCTGTAATCCAATAAAATTAAGTCATTCTATTGTCTAAATTATGTTTTATACGACTGATAGCGGCCCTCGATGGTAAAACCCAGCATGCTATTCCTCTGAACTTCTTTTTAACCTTATATTTATTGCCGAGCAGTATTTTAGCCGCCTCATCTGCGAATGCGGTACGAGGAGTACACAATGATGGGCTATCTAGAAGGGAAACTGGTCAGCTTACTGATGGTGTCTAGTGTTTCTCGTCTCCTTCTTCGGGGCTCATAGCAGGCATTGTCTGAAATAAAACAGAAGACAAGCATTAGATGTCAGCTTATATTCAGTGTCTTGCTTTTCTGATTTGAATGTTGTGCAAGTCAAGCATGAATGCGAAAATGTTAACACTTGCACAGTTACATGGCAAGTGCCCGCACAGGAAAAAAAGTTCCAGTGCATATGGGGCGTCGCATTACTATCCCGCTACTGATTACTAAAACGCGTTGAAGTTTCCGAGCTCTGAAGACCACCAGCAGTGCATGGTGCGTATAAATGGCTCACCGTTAATATGTTGCGGAACGGTCGCTCTGTAATGTAGAGCTTAGCATCGCGCGCTGAGGAGCGAGAGGTCACTGATTAGGCGCTCCGCTGTGGAATTTTTCTTTCTCGTTTTTTTTATTTGCAACCTCTTAGTAAACATTTTACAACGTCATACCGGGATGTAAATACGTCACAAAGCCGTGGTGGACCCCGGCATGAAACACTCGCGTGCTAAACAGGTAAACGGGATATCAAGAACGACATGCCTGCGTGAAAGGCGCAGCACAGTCACACAGAAAGCTAGACGGGCAGCCTTTCAGGGCCTTTTCTGAACACTCATTGGGTAACTGCTGCAAGCACACTTGCTGGGTACCCACTACGGCATTATTACTAACGCGCTACAAATTATGCTTACAATAGCAATTTGTGGGTAGTAGGTCGGCATTCGCTATGCTATCCTTCGTCATTCTTCTGAGAAGAGTGGTATCCGCTAAACACTTGCAAGGAATTTCGCGCCAATTGTTCATGCAGTGGCTGACGACGACGAGGAATTATGCCTGAAGTGGGTGTGCGCCACAGTTAATAGGTCATCAACAACAAGCTTTTGTAATGGGTTGGAGCATTGGACGACCCACTCGTTACGCTATTCGCATTGTGTGACGCCTGGTTGTTATTTGCTGTTCTAGAACGCTTCATTACTCATATTAACGCGATTACTTTCCCGACATCAAGCTTGCCTAAGGTAAGTTTGCGAACAAGTCCCAAGCACTGGCGTAACTCAGTGGTACAATACTTGGCTAGCATGCAGCGGACCCGGGTTCAGGCGCCACTGTGTCCTTGGTACTAGATTTGTTTCTCCTATTTTGTGCGACAGTGGGTAAAAATGACACCGGCGGCAGCAGCGGACAACTACGGTGCCACGCGCCATAACGGATTTTTCTGTAATAGAGAACCACCATCGTTTTGTTAATGACCTACTCCCCCATACCGGTGAGGTTCTGTCCTCAACGATTTGTTAGTGAAAATCACCTACATACCTACAGAGGTACAGTTGATTTAACTTCTAGTACAGTGTATACTGGAAATTAAATAATATGCGCTACCACTGTACAAGTTTCAAAATCACCGCGTCACAGTCAAAAATATTACGCAAGGAAATTTCCGCGCACTCCATCTTTGCTCTAATTACCTTTGCAGCGTTGCAGATCTGTCACGCAAAAGGTGGAGAATCGCGAAGCCAGCGAACGCACGCCACAGTAGCGCACTCGTGACTCGAGCAAGGGCGAATCCAGCCACTCATTTTTGGGGAGAGGGCGGTCGCCTAAAGTAACACCGGAGAGGGAGGCATGATCATGACTTCTTTGTATTTACTAGAAGAAAAACCTCTTCATAACATGCATGCGCTTAATGAGTGTTCACAGTGGTTTCTCTTATTTGTTCTAATTGGTGATTGGAAATCGACTACAAGCACTGAAAAGAGAGCAAGTGCTGACACAGACTTTGTGAGGCTGTTGGGGTGGCGATCGGCCCAACCACCCCCCCCCCTCTCCGGATCCACCACAGGACTTGAGAGGGGTTTTGAAGAATTAGGACCAGCATGGCTGCCTTCATAAGCACGAAAAAGTTCAGGACACGGTATCCTTGTTGCATGATGCTGCAGCCAACAAACTCATCGTCGCCTCGTCACTCAGTAATGGTTCTGTAAAACCGCTTTCGAGCGCGCTATCGTATAGCGTGCACGAAACTCATCGAAGAACGTTCACTTTGCTTCCTCGTTTTCAGAGCTAATATTTAGAAGCGCAAAAAAAAGTGATTGAAAATGATACAGCTGAGTTGGAATTATTCGGTTGTTTTCGAATCAGTCGCAGTATATTTTGCCAAAACATCCGCAAATATGCAAGCAATCACAATTATTCAGACAACTGATTTTCACAATTCAGCATCGCAAATAGCAAAAAATTAACAGCATGCGTGAGGCGACCACTAACAAAGTGCTGTTCGTCTCATCTTTGTATCTCGCTGCACAATTAGCTGGGGAGGTGTTATGATCTTTTTGAGGATGTGCAGAGTTACCAGAAGCTATCACTAAGAGGGGAAATGAGAGAGTAATGATTGATCGATTGATATGTGAAGTTTAACCTCTCAAAATTACCATATGATTATGAGAGATGCCGTAATAGAGGGCTCGGAAAATTTTGAACATCTGGGATTTTTTGACATGCACCCAAATCTGAGAATACGGGCCTACAACATTGTCGCGTCCGTTGAAAATGCAGCCGCCGTAGCTGGGATTTGATCCCGCGATCTGCGGGTCAGCAGCCGAGTACCTAATGGTCCCTAGACCACCGTGGCGGGGCAGATGAGAGAGTAAAAAAGGAAGCATAGCGTAGTAAAAAAGAAAAATAGAGATAGAGAGAGGGAGAGCAAGGCCAGAAAGAGAAAGAGAGAAGTATACGGAGAGAGAGAAAGAAAGCAAAAAAAAAGATGGAAAGAGCAATAAAGTGAAAAAAAGAAGAAATAGAAAGAGACAGAGCCAAAAAAAGACAAAAAAAGAAAAGAGATGAGAGAAAAGGAAAGGAACAGAGACAGAAAGAAAGAGAAGAATTAGGAGAAACTAAGAAGGCCACCCAACTCCGCACCCCTTTCAGGCTTGGCGCCATTAGTACGAAGCTACCTCACTTTACTCTTTCAGACCGAGGTAGCTGGAACGTACGTATAGCTGGTTCCCCGCGATAAAACAATGTGCAGATGCCGTAAAAGCACCAGCCATTCATTTACGCCATGCCAAGACCCTACACAAAAGCACGACAACCAGATGGTGATCCCTTAATGCCCAAGGACCCGAAATTGTGAACCCGTGCCAGATGTCTCACCGCTTCTCGGTGTGTTGCTCACGTTGTTTCGCGTGAGTAGCACGACTCCGGCCCTGGAAAGCGCTTCCGCTGCGTTCACGCCTCCGCCCGCGCCGCAGCCGAGGTCCTTGGAATCCAGAGACTGGAACAGCTGCCGAGTACACGGGGTGCGCATTATCATGTAGCGTGGCGTTAGAATATACAAATGTTCCATGCAATCCTGTTATCTCGTTAAGCTGATGACAATTTTGTGCGTCGCGCATTCTCCAAAATGTACGATTTTTTTAGATGAAATGCATAATAAACATAATATGAATGTTGTTGCTCTATCAACAAGAGAAGGGCTAGGTATTAAAAAAAAGGCTGATCGGGGTTCTGTTTAGCCCGCTAGGTATATTCTGTTCTTATCAGAAGAGGGGAGTGATGGGCTCGAAGAGGAGATCGTGATAGGCCTATCCCGTTACTGGGCACAATATTAGCAATCGTGGTCGGCAAATGAAAATAAAAAAACTCTTTTCAGAACCGAAAGCATTTCTGAGTTTGGCTGTCGATGTGTAAAATTTACTAACATTGTCATTTGGCCTCCACATCAATGGTCACCACTTTTGTGTGTAGTGTTTCCTCGTGACATTTACTATATCGTGTTTGACCCGGTCTCCTTCCTGATATTGTATACACACTCTGTTTGTAATACGAACTTTCAGACGCATAAAAGACCATTTCTGTGCTTTGAAAACGTTTATCAGCATCACAATAATACGCTCCCTGTAATTAGTCATAAGGACCCGTTTTATACTCACACAAACGCACACAAAGAAAAAAAACATTCCTATATTAGTATTGTTCATAACGATCACCAGATAGTGAAAATTAGGCCAGGGTGATCTATTATGGCACACCTCATAATAATATCGTGCTTTTGACAAGTAAAACCTCAGAATTTCATTCAGGACGAAAATTTGGGCTGATTCTTGTGTTGGGCGGGCCATTAGTGAGGATGATGTATAAATTGCAAAAAAGCATAAATGAAAAAAATCAGTAAAATCGGCTGCCAGATTTCTGAAAAATGTGGAGATGAGAAACTCAGTGACGGGCTTATCGACGAAAAAGAAGCGGATTGTAATGCAATAAAAAAAGTGTATATTGAATGGTGTGCGCGATTTCTCGAGATAACTGTCATTTCGCTACTAATATGACTGGTGAAGTTAATGTTACTTTTTATGTAAAATTGCCAAAAATTACGCATGTATGAGGCGTTTTATTTTTTTACTAAAAAAGCCAAATGCACTGTAAGTGAAAGTGAGAAAAATGCGCTTTTTTTCTATATACTGACAATATGATTGGGTCTTCTCTAACAACTTTTTCCCACTATGTTTCTATCCCCCAAATACCAGGAATCTAGGATGTGGCGAAAATCTACATAGCCAAATATCGTCAGTACTGTAAAGTTTGTATTTGGCTCATATAGATTAAATATTTCACTTGGACGTGAATGAGATAGAGAACGCACCAGCTGCGTTCCCCAAACGTGTGCTGCTTGATACTTACGAGCTGAACGTGTCGCAAGGACTTATCGTCGTGTGTGTGTTGTGCTGAGAGTCGTCAGTGTCTATCAACTCAAGCTGTCGCTACGCGGTGAGGGATGCCAGCTCGTCATTACTTTCGTACGAAGTTCCCTGCTTTTCGCTGATCTTTAGAACAAAAGATAATTTTGTCCCTACTTTTTCATCCACTATTCTACGTCATCAGACTAGCCGTAGCTGTAACTACTAGTACGTATATCTGATTTTTCACTGATGACCCCTGTTTGGTGTTGTATCTATTTACCAGAGTTACTACTCCAAAACTCCAGCAAAATACGATACATCCTTAAAGGTAGTGCCAGTTGATTCTTTAGCAGTTAGAAACTTTTCGCGTTTACTTTTCATGCACTCAAACCACCCGCGACGTATACAGCTCAACATAACACTGAAATAGAAGTAGGCGATTAGCTCGCAAAACAGGAGCGCACCACTCGTCAGTTGACAGAAAACGTTTAAGTGTAAAAGTGCTACCCCTCCGAATCACCAAAACTTTCGACATTGCGGAAACATTGAAGCCAACAATATCGAAATGGGGCAAGACAAAAGGAAGTTACGGCACAATGAACGCATAACAAAGAGGATAATCCAGAGCACTAAGCTTGGCTAAACTCGCAAGGTCAGAAGTTCGAAGCCGCGCCATTTTTTAAATGCAAGTATGGAGTTTCAAACAGTTAGGAGAAGGCTAGGCGAGCTACAAGTCATGGGAAGTTGAGAACGATTGGTGGTCAGGTGTTATTCGACAGTGCTAAGAACGTGCACCAAAACTTCCTAATTAGAGATAGCACAGCAGCCTAGCATGCAAGGACAAAATTCGGTTCGAATGCCGATGCCGAAACATTTCCAATCGTATGTTTACTTAAAAAGTGTGATGATGGAATTGTTAAAACAAGAAAAAGAGTAAAGTTGTTGGGTGCAGCCTCTCTGGCGACCATCTGCCGGTAAAGCACTCGCTCACCAGAGCAGGATTGACCACCCTAGTGCAGTTCTTGGCCAGTACACCTCCCACATGAACACACTTAATAAATCTCGGCCCCCAGTACCCAGCGGCTGTGGTCAGACCTGAGACGCAGTGGAGGGTGCAAAGAATCTCTGGGTGTGGACAGGTCGCCATTGGAATCATAACTTGGCCATGTTTAACGCTCAAACGTTATCGAGTGAGGATAGTCTAGCTGTGCTATTCGAGGAATTAGAGGTTTTAAGATGGGATGTAATGGGGATAAATTAAATAGGCAGGACACGCTAGGCTTATAAAGTGCTGAAGAACAGACACCTCCTATGCTACTGTGAATTAGTTCTCAGCAAAGAAGTACGGGTGGGGTTTCTTAAACACAATATTATCACTGGCAACATCTAGAAATACGGTATCATCAGTGAGAGGGTGGCAAGTATCGTAATGAAGTTTACCAAAAGTTACAAGGTGAAGGTGATACAGGCCTACGTGCCTAAATAGAGCCATAATGATCATTTGGATGAACGCTTCTACGAAGAAGTAGAGTCAGCAATTATTGCATTAAAGACAAGAAGGGCAATATCATAACCAATATAGATTAGATGGTTGAGATGGTAGAAGAGGTCTACAGAGAGCTGTGGAGAAGCCGAAACAACCAGGATCACATCGTAAGAAGCAATAAGGTCCCGAAGAAATTCGACATCCTACCTGTAATGACAGGGATAGTAAGGAAAGCCCTTGCAGAAATGCAGAGAGGCAAAGCCGCAGGTGAGAATACGGTAACAACAGATCTACTGAAATATGGCGGAGAAATCGTGTTATAAAAACTGGCCACGTTATATACAAAGTGTCTCTTGATGGGAAGAATACCAGAATCTTAGAAGAATGCCAACATCGTCTTGAATGATAAAGAAGGAGACTTGAAAAATTACAGGCTCATCAGCTTGCTGTCAGTTCTCTACAAACTATTTGCAAAAATAATAGTTTGTGAAGAAGAAGATGTGCCTGCGGCGAGCAGCATCGCCAACGCCCGGCCCTCTCGGCTCGTGCTTCGGCTCGCTACTGTGCTGATCTCTGCTAGACGGTTCTTTACGCTGTCTTGCCGTTGTCGTTATCGACTAATAAACCTCGTCACATTTGGTGGAGAGTGCTGTTCATCCCCGTCGCTACACCCTGGAACTGCGAAGCCGCACGCTACCGCCCGTCATGACTGACAACGCCAACCCATCGGCATCGTCGCCCCAGTTCAACTGCCCCGGCCATCCTAGGCTACGGGACCCGAAGTTCTTCAGCGGTGCGGATGGGACCGACGTGGAAGACTGGCTTGAGCACTACGAGCTGGTGAGCGCCAATAACAAGTGGGATGAAGCCGACAAGCTCGGCCACGTCATATTTTATCTCCCCGGCCTCGCAGAATTGTGGTTTAACAACCACAAACACAACATCCCCACATGGAGCGTCTTCAAGACGTCATGTGCTGAAGTGTTTGGTCGGCCGGCTGTCCGCAAGCAGCGGGCAGAACAGCGCTTGCGCGTCCGCTCTCAGCAGACTGGCGAAAATTTCACCAGCTATATTGAGGATGTCGTCGACCTTTGTCGACGCGCGAATGCCACCATGCCCGAGTCCGACAAGGTCAAACACATCCTGAAGGGCTCGACGTGGAGGCATTTCAAATGCTCTTGGCTAGAAATCCGAGCACAGTTTCTGAAGTCGTCAGCTTATGTCAGAGCTACGACGAGTTGAAAAAGCAACGCTCTCTGACTTGACAACCTCGGCGTGGTGGTGAGTCGCTGTCCAGTTTCGACACCATGCCTGACAATTCACCATTGCTTTAGCAAGTCCGAGCCTTCGTCCGTGAGGAAGTCGCCCGCCAACTTTCTCTAGTGCCTTTTGCTCACGAGACCACCACCGTCTACCCGCCCCGCTTCGCACTGCTATATCGGAAGAGGTTGCACGAGCTGTTCCCCTTGCGCACTACGAGCCGCCTCTATCTAGCCGTGTCCACCGCCCGCGTGTCGCACAGCCGGTAGGTGCCCCTGTCGCCAATCCGCCAGCGATTCAGCCTGTGGCCGCGCCCCTAACGTATGCAGCGCAGCCTGTGGCTCCTCCTCTCGCCTGTTCGCAAGAGATGCAGCCCGTAGCCGCCCCGCTCACATATGCAGACACTGTGCGTAGGCTTCCGCAACCGCCGTATACACCACGCGCTCACAGCGCGCACAATTTTGCTCTTGTTCCCGTTTCATGCAACGCCTACACTGACGCTACATGCCTTTTTATGCCTTCCGATATCTTCAAGAGTCGTCGAGCTCTGCCGCTGCCTTTCGCAACAATTGACCTTGCCACCGGAAGAAGCAATATGTTCGTAAGCAATCCGCTTTCCACACCTGTCACTTTGCTTGCGGGGGAACGTCTCAGCCACGTGCAGGATCTCGACCCTTCGGCTTTGGTTGATGTCCCGGATGACTACTGCGACCACCCAAAATCACTGTCGGCACTCGAGGAGTCGTCCAAGGATAAGTTTTCTAGTGTCATTGCCGACACTCTCACTCCCAACGAACATGCCGACCTGCTGCATCTTCTGCAAGAGTTCAGGAGGTCTTTCGATGTGTCGCAGCCTCAACTGGGCCGCACGTCACAAGTCAAACATCACGTTGACACCGGCATACACCAGCCACTGCGTCAAAGACCATACCGTGTCTCCGCTGAAGAGCGCCGCGTCATCAACGATCAAGTCGAAGATATGCTTCGTAGAGACGTCATTCGACCAGCTCACAGTCCCTGGGCGTCTCCTGTCGTCCTCGTGCGTAAGAAAGACGGATCTATCCGATTGTGCGTGGACTATCGTCGTTTGAACAAGATAACCCGCAAGGACGTCTATCCTTTGCCGCGCATTGATGACGCCATCGACACCCTTCACGGAGCGGAATTTTTCTCGTCGCTAGATTTGCGGTCTGGCTATTGGCAAGTCGCAATGGCTGAAGCCGATCACCAAAAAACGGCATTTATTACACCAGACGGACTATACGAGTTTAACGTCATGCCCTTTGGGCTTTGTAACCCGCCTGCCACTGTTTGAACGTCTTATGGATAATACGCTACGTGGCCTCAAGTGGAATGCGTGCCTCTGTTACCTCGACGATGTCGTGGTTTTCTCTCATGATTTTCCTAAGCAACTCCTTCGCCTCAGGCACGTTTTCACTTGCCTGATCAACGCTGGCCTGCAGCTTAACCTTAAAAATGCCGCTTCGCTGCACACGAGCTCGTCATACTAGGCCACATCGTGTCCAAACACGGCGTATTACCGGACCCGGCAAAACTTCGAGCAGTCGCAGAATTTCCTAAGCCGACGACCATGAAAGAACTTCGCCGTTTTGTATGCCTATGCTCATATTTCTGGCGCTTTGTTCGCAATTTTGCATCTATCATGTCACCATTAACCCAGCTTCTTCCAGTATCTCGATCTTCTTCCAGGCACGCCCAACCTTCCAGTATCTCAATCCCTCCGACGTCAAGCTTTCCATTTCGCCATCCGCGATCAACTCCTTCATCGACGCAACTGCGCTCCCGATGGCCGCTGGTGGCTACTGGTCGTTCCACGCACTTTACGATCACAAGTATGTGCCTCTCTTCACGACGATCCGCAATGTGGCCACGCCGGGGTGTTCAAAACATATGAACGCCTTCGCCATCGCTATTACTGGCGCGGCATGTACAATTTTGTACGCAAATTTGTGCAGTGCTGTCCTGACTGCCAGCGACGCAAATCAACAGCGCCACGAGCGACTGGCGCATTGCAGCCACTTCCATGCTTTGCCAAGCCATTTGATCGTGTCGGCGTTGACCTCTACGGCCCCCTTCCATCGAGATCAAATGGTAATCAGTGGCTTATAGTGGCAGTTGACCATCTGACACGCTACGCCGAAACAGCCGCTTTGCCGAGCGCTACAGCTCAGAATGTCGCCTCTTTCATTTTACGTCGCTTTATCCTTCGACATGGTCCACCTCGAGAGCTCCTTAGTGACAGAGGCCGCGCTTTCCTCTCCGAGGTCATCGAAACTCTGCTTTCGGAATGCCACGTCATTCATCGGAAAACGACAGCATACCACCCGCAGATAAATGGGCTAATGGAACGGTTCAACCGCACGCTGGGTGATATGCTCTCAATGTACGTGGCATCTGATCATAGCAACTGGGACCGTCTTCTCCCATACGTCACATTCGCATATAACACCGCAGTTCAAACAACCACGGGATTCTCACCTTTCTTTCTTCTTTATGGACGCGAGCCTTCCCATACAATGGACACCCTACTACCCTACCGTCCTGACGCTTCCAAGTGCCCACCTGTCTCCGATGCTTCTCGACAAGCCGAAGAGTGCCGCCAGCTCGCCCGTGCGTTCACCTCAAAAGAGCAGCAACGCCACAAAGAACAATGTAGCACCGCCCTTTCAGACCCCATCTATGCCCCAGGGTCTCTTGTGTGGCTCACAATTCCACACTAAACACCGGGACTCTCCTCGAAACTTGTCCCCCGGTACGAGGGGCCTTACACCGTTTTGGAAAAAACCACTCCGGTTAATATTGAGCCAGTTTCCAGATCGGACGACATGCCGCAGCGCGCACGTGACATCGTCCATGTTTCCCGACTGAAACCATACCATGGGCTTCTGCCTGAAAATTCTTAAGTTGCCAGGATGGCTCCTTTTTCAGCGGGGGCGATTGTGAAGAAGAAGATGTGCTTGCGGCGAGCAGCATCGCCAACGTCCGGCTCTCTCGGCTCGTGCTTTGGCTCGCTGCTGTGCTGATCTCTGCTGGACGGTTCTTCACGCTGTCTTGCCGTTGTCGTTATCGTTTAATAAACCTTGTCACAAGTTAATCTAATTAGGGCGACATTAGAGTTCGATCAACCAAAAGACCAAACAGAATTTCGTACAGTCTACTCCACAATAGACCGTATTCATACTATCAGTCAAATGATAGAGAAATGCGCTGAATACACCCGACCCCTATAAATAGTCTTTATAGGTTACGAGAAAGCGTTTGACTCAGTTGAGACATCAGCAGTGATGCAGACACTACAAAATCAGGGCATAGACGAACCCTACGTAAACATACTGGAAGAAATATACAGGGGATCTACAGCCACCATAGTTCTCCACGAAAAAAAAAAAGCGACAGGATCCCAATAAAAAAGGGTGTAAGGCATGCAGGTCGATACAATCTCTTTATTTCTATTCACCGCGTGTTTACAGGTTTTTAGGGTCCTATATAATGGGAAGAGTTAGGTTTACGAGTTAATGGAGAGTATCTTATATAGTAACCTGCAATTCACTGATGACCTTGCCTTGATGAGTAACTCAGGGGACGAATTACAGCGCATGATTACTGAACTGAACGAAAAAAGCAGAAGAGTAGGTCTAACAATAATATGCACAAAACTAAGGTAATTTGCAATAGTGTCGGCAGAAAACAGCGTTTTACGATAGGCGGAGAGACGCTGGAAGTTGTAAAGGAATATGTCTACTTAGGACAGGTAGTAACTGTGGAGCTGAACCATGAGATCACATCTGGCAAGCATTTTCAAATCATTAATGGTAATCTACTACTAACCTCCGAGAAGAAGGTATATAACAGCTGCATCTTGCCGGTACTTAACTACTGAGCAGAAACTTGGAGGCTTACAAAGAGGGTTAAGCTTTAATTGAGGACCACGCAGCAAGCGATGGAAAGGAAAATTATAGGTGCAACTTTAAGAGACAAGAAAAGAGAAGATTATGTCAGAAAACAAACCAGGCTTAAGGATATCACAGTTGAAATCAAGAAGAATAAATCGACATGGGCCGTGCATGTAGCACGTAGGCAGGATAACCACTGGTCAATAAGGGAACTGACTGGATTCTCAGAGAAGGCCAACGCACGAAGGCTAGATAGAAATCTAGGTGGGCCGATGAGATTAAAGTTCGCCGGTATAACGTGGCAGCAGAAAGCACAAGACCGGGATGATCGGCGGATCATGGGAGAGGCCTTTGCCCTTCAGTGGGCTTAGTCGGGCTGCTGCTGCTGCTGCTGCTACTAATGATGATGATGATAATGATGAGGACGATCATGATGATTTCTATGCACCTTTTGCCAACGTACTATACATGCAGAGTCGCCATACACATTTTTTCTCTAGAAACCTGTCCTATCAGATATCTTTTATCTGCTCGGATTAGAAGTCAACTCTTCTTTGATATGACGTAAAATATTCGTTTTCATTTCTTTCATCCATGTTTGGTATACTTAACTTCTGTCTGTCTTCTCGGCTGTGGTGGCTGCATTTCCGATAGAGGTGAAAATGTTCTAGGCCCGTGTGCTCAGATTTCGGTGCACTTTAAAGAACCCCAGGTGGTCAAAATTTTCCGGAGCCCTCCACTAGGGCGTCTCTCATAATCATATGGTGGTTTTGGTGCGTTAAACCCCACATATAAATCAATCATTAACTTCTGTCTTCTTGATCCCGTCCATAACGTATGCGTCTACACTGTTCTTGCGTCTATTTTTCTGCAATGCGTCATCTTTGTTCTTAGGAAAGTTACGATGCCATTATTTCACGTAAACGAGCAAAACGGCTTCGTGTTTCATCCCTATGTATGAAGTCTCCCATTCTGAAATGTTTGTAAAATATTGTGTCTTCATCAGTAACAATAACAATTATATCTGAGGTTCTAGGTCCCAAAACCACAATAAGATTGCTTCCAAAACCGCAATAGGTTGCAAAAAGGCGATATGTGCGCTCATTAGGAGTAATGACTGGACAACTGAAAACTTGTTCTCGGACTACTTCTGGCGTGATCAAAGGAATGTGTTCAAAGCAATCAACTACTGATTACCATTTTTCTTGTTAGGAGATCTTTTTTCCTCAGTACGTAGAGAGCTTGGTCTACTCCCAGTAAGCTGACAGCTGTCCCAGGCGTGCCCGTGACGACTAGCGTCTCGAGGGCCATAGGCTCGGATGGTCCCGAATTCTTCCTTTCTAGGGTGACCTGAAATATAGAAGTAAAGGAAGTGATGAAATCGCACGCACAATCCTAGGGTGAGCATTCACCGCTAGTAGTTAGCGTCGTTTTCCCGCGCAAGAATAGCTCACCCGCAATCGAAGCTGCACCAGTAATGTAAGCACTCGCAGCCTCGAGCGGCTGCCGCTACAAGTTGTCTACTCCAGTGTGTCAAGTGGCCGATCACAAGACAAAGTTTGCCACACAACGTGCCAAATTGTTTTGAACCACTTGTACCCGACATGAGGGATACCACAAATGGCGTGGCCACTTGGCTCGATTGGTCACATTTAACACCGCAAGACTTGTATACAAACTAAAATATTACAATGTCTTTTTTTGCGCAGGTGGAAGATAACGTTTTTCAGCTATATCAGAGATATATAGGGAAAAAATTAAACAGGGGCTTTATGACAAGTGTTTTCATACTTCGGTGTTTTTCGGTAAACCACATGTATCCTTCAGCACAATTTCGGAGTGTAACGGTGCGTGTAACCTTCACGAAAGTTTCTATGAAACAAGGTGGAGAAATCATAGTCAATATGCATGGAGTTTTATCTTCAGATTAACTTGTATTCATCAGTAAGTTCCTGAATACAGCTATTGTTTACCAGTTATTCTGTTTGTGATTTTCCCCCCTAAAAACACTGTGAACACACAAAAAAAATAAAAAAAACGTTCAATAGATTTAATTTCAGGCTTTACTTGACGGGAATAAAGGTTGTGACCAAGACGTCGGCAGATTTTTCACTATGTACGCTTAAAGTTCAGAAATCACTAAATTGCCAAAAAAGGCGTTTTTTGCATCCAAAATTTGCATGCATACGACCTCCAATACAGCGAACACTTCTACTATGAAATAATCTGTGCAACTAAGCATGCCACGTGGCCAGGCCTCATTCCTGCCTTTTCTATCTAGTTTGAATGGCACTACAACATTGATTTCTACAGCGAATATGCCTGTTTAAGGAAGCCATAATTCATTGATTGATGATTGATATGTGAGGTTTAGCGTCGCTCAAAACCACCATATAATTTTGAGAGACGCCGTAGTGGAGGGATTCGGAAATTTCGACCACCTGGGGTTCTTTACACGTGCGCCCAAATCTCAGCACATGGGCCTACAGCATTTTTGCCTCCATCGGAAATGCAGCCTCCACAGCCGGATTCGATCCCGCGACCTGCGGGTCAGCAGCCGAGTACCTTAGCCACTAGACCACCGCGGCGGGGCAAGCCATGATTCCTATGCTTCCAAACACCGAATTGTTCGTTTACAACGAATCCACTTTGCCGCGCATGTAGCGCTCAGCAACCAAATAAAATCGATTAAGGGGGCTGCGGAGCCAATCCGTAACTTTCAAAGAACTACGAAAAAAAAGGACATTACAGCGCACGCTGTTGTGCTGCCTTGACCCAACCAGGTGCACGTGGGCACACTGCAAGGCACCTGGCAGTTTTAGCATCTGTCATAGTCTTGTGGGGGTGGCATCGAGATACAGAGAAACGCCATTATAACTAGCCGCAATGCAAACACGGCGTTTTGACTGGCTGCAGGGCTATTTTTCTGCTGTGTTTAAGCATTGAGTGAGCCATACAACTGCTCAGTAGAGAAATACATATTTTTAGACAGGGCTGTTCCAATCTGCTGGTAAAAAAGTTGGTTGATACCACGTATACAGTAGGAATCGATGATATGAGAAGCATGAATGACGAAGGATGAATTGTCACATTAAAATCAGCGCACCGCTACGAGGCGGATGTAAATTGTGCTGTACATGACCTCCATGTCATGATTAGTATGTTTGCGCCTGGCATTTGTGCTCGTCGTTCACCCATGTCACGTAATATCAAATTTGGTATGGGTGAAGCTAGCGAAACGGCCGCTTGCGCGCTAAGAGCGTAGCATGTAGTCATGTCTTGCATGACACGCATGTCATGATTATCATGCTTGGACGTGTCATTTACCGTCGTCGTCCATTCGCGTCTCGTAATCGTATACGGGAAGCTATAGCGAAATGGCCGCGAGCGCACTACGAGCGTATGATGTAGTCATGTTTTACATGATACGCGTGTAATAATTATTATGTTTGCACCATTCGCGTCACGTAATACGGAATTTTGTATATGTGAAGCTAGCGAAACAACCACGAGCGCATCATGAGCGTGGTATGTAGTCATGTGCTTACATGACACGCATGTCATGATTATCATGTTTGCACTAGTCACATACTTTCGTCTTTCATTCACGTCACGTCATACGGATTTTGGTATATGTGCAGCTAGCGAAACGACCGAGAACGCATAATGGGCGTGGCATGTAGTCATGTCGCATGACATGAATTCTACTTGAGGGCATCTCACTCATGTTCGCCATGCAGTGATGTCATACCATACTAGCTTTGCGATATGTCATGTAAACGAAACCACCACAGGAGCAGCAAGACCATGACATGCAAATCGTGACATTTGACATACATGTCATGATTTTGATGTTGTGACTAGTCACGTATGTTCGCGATAGAGTCGTTATGCCATACTAATTTTGGTACAGATCCCATCATCAAGACGGCCAGGAGAGCTAAAAGTCGTAGGCGGCTAGATAGATAGATAGATAGATAGATAGATAGATAGATAGATAGATAGATAGATAGATAGATAGATAGATAGATAGATAGATAGATAGATAGATAGATAGATAGATAGATACGGTCAAACTCGCCGAAGGTCGCTAAGAAATGCTTCGCATTTAACACTTCATCTCTCAGTATCTTTATCTGCTTTATTTGCGTCATTAAATGGCAGCGTGATGCATATAAATGAATGGCGTGTATAACGAAGAATTATTGCGGCTCCACATGTTTCGTTAGGTAGGCGTTTTGCTGTATTTTTCTTCGGCGACAAAAATTATCGAAATCTTTTAACTGGGCTTACAACCTCCACACAGATTGCATTTCATCAAATTCGGTAATGTTAACAAGTACCTCATGTTCATCCTTATCTGGGCTCATTCCTGATACACCTGTGCAAGGCTGAATGACAACATGTATTCATTATATTCACTATCAAGCCGACTACTCACACTATATGAATATTCTGGATGAATATTCAGAAAATATGCGCCGAAAAAGTTGACGCTGCCTGAAGGAAATGGCAGCACGCTATCTAAAAGCTGCCATAACAACCACTAAAAAAGATTTTTGATAAAAACTTTCTTTAAGAACGTATGCGCAAGCTAAGAAAAAAAAGGCTGCCATAGCCATTGAAAAGTTTGACCAATACCTCGCATCTTCCTTGCCGAAGCAGTGGTTATTGCCACAACAGGCTGAAAGGCAAACCGAGCGGCTGCATTTTCGATGGAGGCGAAAATGCTGTAGGCTCGTGGGCTCAGATTTGGGTGCACGTTTAATAACCCCAGGTGGTCTAAATTTTCGAAGCTCTCCACTACGGCGTCTCTTATAATCATATGGTGGTTTTGGGACGTTAAAACCCACATATCAATCAATCAAAGGCAAATCAATTTCGGTGATGACGTGGGGAGTGGTTTTTGCCATGAGGACAACGTAGAAGCGATTCGCTGCGCGTCTCGGCATTGGTAAAAAAAAAAAGATAGAGAAAACGTTCAGTACTACGCCTCTCTTACGAAGAGTACTAAAAAAAAAACTTCCATAATTCGCTCAGCAGTGCTTGCTTAGAGGGCGTTCTACGTTTAAACATGTAAAACTGCATAGAACGAACTCATGTTTTTTTTTGTCTTTTTTTGCAACACATACTGTGAGAGACGCCGTAAACCATTACGCTCGCCACGTATATTATGGTAGACTCTTGTAGCATGGGATAGTTTTATACGTTTTGCAAAACGTCATATTTAAAATCTCCTGGATGTATCAGCCGTACTTTAAAAAGCCTGTCGTTTTCTCATTTTCAAAGCTTTCATTTCACCGTTGTACTAAAACCAGTCATTTGACCACTTATATCCTCCGTTTATCCCTGGCTGGCCTTTCTAAAGTGCATATTTGATAATCTCCGGGCTTGCTTTTTACAAGATTTTCAAAGAAGTTTGGACGACATTGATAATGAATCCTAATATTTGCTTTCGCTGTATACATATAGTGACGAATGAACTAGTGCGTAGTGACGGCGACATTCTATGCTTACATATTCTCAATGTATGCGCTTAACATCTAACCCTGTTCGGTTGTTACGGCTGCACGAAAGAATCGCCAATAAAATATGTGTTATGAATGTATTCTTCAAATTAATTTATGGCTTGATAGTAGTTCTTTTTGTCTTCAACTTGTCGCAGTACTTGTGGCCACAAGACAGATGTCACTGTTTCATTAGGGCTACTCTGCTCGATAAAACGAATGATCGAGTCTGCTGGCTTTCAGCAATACTTTAGTTTGAACGATTTAATGCTAATTTTGAATATTTTGCAGGTCAGCGCAAAAAAGGCTGGACAAATGAAGGAAGTACACAGAATGACCTTAAACTTCCGACTATATACTGGCACGTAAAAGGGAGCGTGTATGAATACACATGCGATCACTATATGCAAACAAAAGTTTTTGATGAAGAATTACAATGCTATCATGAAACCCGTACCAGTGCTACATCCTATGAAGAGCTATTTCACATGTCAACTCGATTATGCTACACTTAAACGGGAAAACGGAGACAAACCCAATCGAAAGCTGCACTGGCTGTCATTTAAACATGACCCTCTGAAAACTGCAGCTTATTAGCAAGCAGTGTCAAAGAAGCCAAGCTTACTTAATTGTCTGAACTTCCATTAAATAGTAATCCTCTACAACTTTCATTTGCTGGTTGTTTTACAGCGAATGCTGTTCTGAGATCACAAACAACTCTGGTCACGCGCAGCGCCGTAGGTTTTCGCCGCCGCCGCCACCACCGGCGTGCGTAACTGCATTGCGCGAAATAAAAAAAAATATTAGTACCCACTACACAGTGAGGCTTGATCCTGGGCCCTC